TACATTACAACCTTCTAATCTTTTCCAAATACCCTAAATTTATACTTTTTAAAAAATTCTTCCCGTCCCTATCTTCTGCTTTCTTCCTGCCTTCCATTCCCTGTTCTTATCTCTAAACACTGCGACCGTCATACTGACGAGGTCCATTCGCGGTGTTGAGCTAAGACGGATATGACTTCATGGACCGAAACGTCTTAACTCTCTCGTACTTATTTTTCCTGTACCAGCAATATTTCTACATCTTGCATTACATAGTTTTCTCTCTTCTTGCCTTCTTTTTGAAGTTCTTCATATTACTTTCATGGTACAATCATGCGATAACCAGCTTAGCACCACATTCTAGTGTTATTTCATTAGTGTCACAGTGCTTTTTTTTTGTATAAATTTACATTGCTTTTCAGGTGGTGACGGGTGGCCAATATGATGTTGATCTGACATTAGAGGATGATAGAGGAAAAGTCCTGTATAAGGGCATCAAGAAGCAGTATGACAGTTATACATGGAAAGCCGAAACTACTGGTACCTACAAGGTTTGCTATGCTTTACTTTAACAAGTATCTTCGCCTTAAATTACTAATGGATTGATCGTGTATCGATTTGGCTCGTAACGCATCGTACCATCGATAAAGTTAAAGTTAAAGGAGGATGACTTTGGTACCGCGTATAAAGTGTCGATGGATCGAAGGAACCAGTTAAGGTGCTTGGCTAAAGCAGCGACAAAAGAGAATTTACCATACTAGACAAAGACCCAAGACAAAATAAGCAACTGACGAATCACTGATGGTAGCGTGACTGGATTATTTGGCGTAAGGCACTCAATCGGTGAAAAAAGTTGGATAAGTTGACGCGGGGTACTCAGTCGGTGAACGAAGTCGGATGATATACTTAGACCCCGGATCATCGGATCGCTCTTATATAGCGATATTCCTGTAATGGTTATCAGCCATTGCAATCTCCAGTACAGCTTTCATCCAGGATTACAAAATAGATGCCATGGGAACCAAGGGTGGATTGTGCCGCCGTAGATTCAATCTGTGATGAGAAAGTTGGTGGGGGAAAGAACGGTTTGGGAACGAGGAGTCAAATCCCTGTCGGAAATTCGATTTCCGATGGGAACTTCGCTCCCCAACGCTCGGTCGGAATGTCGTCGGAAGATGATTTAACTTTTGTTTTATTTTTGTATTTTATAATTCCGTTTAGGGAGGGAGTAAGGGGCAAGACGAGGGTTTCGCCGCTACATCTCCTGTTTTGGGGGATGACCGATCCTGGTTATAACCCAAGGAGCCTTGGAGTTGATGGACCTTGGACCTACCCAGACGACGCGATTGCGCCTTTCGTCTCCCATTGTGAAGGAAGGTAATGGAATCTCCTTTATATTCCATCCGGTGTCTAGGTTAATGGTCATTAAGACCGAAACTGTGTTTTTCAGATCTAGGGATTGCCCAGGAGATAAGACTCCACCAAATTCTTGAATACTTGAATCGCAGTATAGTACACTGCTGGTTTGTATTCGATAATAGGCCCGTAAGGTATTATCGGTGAGGATGAGGGTGTGCCAAATTTTTTTTGGTGTAGCAGAGCTTGTGCTGTGTTCAGTAATTACATTTGATGTAAGTCGTCCAGAGCGGGCAGATGATGCAGAGTTGTCATAGGTAGTTTTGAAATAATTCGCTCAGAGTGAGCTGTTGTCAGGGTTGTTTGATTGAATTAATTCCTCAGACTGAGCTTTTATTAAAGTTGTTTGATTGGATGGGCAGTTTTTTAAAAGTAGTTTCAACCGATCGGTACTTAGTAAATTCATCTACCCTGATGATTTAGGAATTAGAAACTTAGCTAGTAAGTTATTTTCATGAACGTTGCCTCCTCTTAATTTACATAGAATTACTACCCGTCTCGCATGCTAGTCTCCTCCTCTTCCATCTGCTCCATCACTTTTATTACTTTCATGCCATTACACTTCCTCTCCTTCTCTTTCACTTATCCTTTTTGCAAATTAGTTACATGTCTTTTCAATAAATAGCGGGTAGGAGGCTGTACTGATGATTCCCACTCCTACCCGCATGCATTGTTCGGTCTGTGTATACAGCTAAGGGATGAAACACAGACTACATCATGAAATGTCTTCTTATATATGACACCTATTTCCAATCTCCTTACTCCATTGTTCATTTAAGTTAATTCGCCCAGATGGGGCTCTAGATTATTCTCTTTCATTAATTCGCGCAGTGGAAGGGTGTTGGGTCCATACCTCAGCGACCTCCTCTTTACATTAGAAACGTTTTTCGAATTATCGTTATTGTCACTGCATCGATTAGCAGTCAGTTTGCTGGTGACCGTGCTGTTTCTTCCACTGATTTTTCTTATTTCGGAAAAAAATGATAGAATGTATTACATTTCTTTTGCTGCTTGTGCAGTTTCTCAGCTGACTTAGTTTTTTTTTTCGCCTTGCTCGGTTACACCTCTCGACTGTAAAAGGTTTACTTATTGTGTAAATGTTCAAGGTTGTTGTATCTTACATTTCGACAGACAGTATAGCTTAACTCAAATTTGACCCAAGTCGTTAGTAATCTTGTATATTTTCGAGCTCGAGAATCATAGATACCTTCATGCTATGT